TCGGTATCAGGTGGAGCATCACTGTTGGGTGGAGGCCATCGCTACTATGGTGGAGGCCATCGCTACTAGGTGGAGGCCATCGCTATTAGGTGGAGGCCATCGCTAGTAGGTGGAGGCAGTCGCTATCAGGTGGAGCATCACTATTGGGTGGAGGCCATCGCTAGTAGGTGGAGGCCATCGCTAGTAGGTGGAGGCAGTCGCTATCCGGTGGAGCATCACTATTGGGTGGAGGCCATCGCTATTAGGTGGAGGCCATCGCTATCAGGTGGAGACCATCGCTATTAGGTGGAGGCCATCTGTGTATCAAGCCTCTGAGATCAGTGGTGCTTGTGTTCACCGATGTTCACAGGGAATTGTTATGAATTGTTAGGGTTTCTCTTGTCAGGACATGAAGGCTCTTTTTACCCCACCTGAGTTTGAGCTCGCACTTCGACAAGCAAGTCAGCTCAGTGCTGTGTGTGCTGCTTTGATGTATTCCAGCTGCTTGCCCATCATGATGCTTGGTGGCATGTTGAACAAGGAAAGCTAGCGGAAACCCAGAGATAGTCCTGTTAATAAAGTGTCGAGTCCTTGTTTTGCCCAAATTTGTGGAAGACTTGAGCCACCTTCCACCCAAGTGCTTCAACAGGCCAGGTCGTCTTTCAACACCAAATGCTGCCAAAAGTATGGCTTTCGCTTTCCCAACAAGCTTATGCCTGCACGATGTGTTGATTTCTCTTGCCTTGGATCTCGATTTGCGGCGATTCGAGATCTCGCGGATTTCTGCGCTCCCGTCAGGACTCTGATTTTGGCCGTCCGGCTTTTCGCCATGTACTGGACCAGCAAGTTTGAGCTCTTGCGTGGCAGTTCCATTCCGAAGCGCTTCTCTCACGTTTTGGCCTTGTCAGCGAGCCGCTGGGTCCAGGTGTGGCGGTGCCGACGCGTACCACATCGATAGAAAAGCTCAAAGCCGGAAAGCCACAAAAACACCTAGTTTGCCATTGGCATGGACACAGAGCCATTGGGAAAAAAATCCAGAGAAACCTCGAAGATTGTGAGGGCTCAGACATGAATTTGGAGGAGGGTTGGGGACTGATGAGACCACATTTAAAAAAGTATATAACATAAGAGGGGCAGGGCGAGTGTTGGGACAACATCAAGAATCATATGCAGGTGGGAGTCGCCCCCAAGACAAAGGTTCCTGGTATAGAGCTGGTGCGTGGTTGTTCGATGGAACTATGAAAAAGTACTAACGCCTCGGGTTTCTCACAGCCCCGCTGGCTGTTCCGGAGGTGGCCGTGTTCTGTCACAGCGCTGTGGCTGTTTGGGTCTACGGCGACGCGGACCTCACAGGGACCACGCACTTGATGTTTGACACGACCGAAGCCAACACTTATGTGCAAGAAGTGGGCAAACTTCTCGGAAATCAGGTGCCGGGAGCCAGACGCGCGAGCTGCGCGGGAGCCAGCGGAAGTTGGGGGAGCTTGGGGACTGGACCGTATTCCGTTGATCAAACTGGGTCAGCGTTTCTCAAGCTTGTAGCAGAGGTGAAGGTTGGGAATTTTCAATAGTGATGGACGCTTAGATCAGAGAAACAGCCTACATACTATGGTTCGACTCTTTTGTTTGCGCTCCAGTTGTCCATTGTCTTGAAGATCGTGGTGGAAAAAGCAATGACTCCTGCAGCAATGCCCAATGCGGTGATCTTGGCACTCTTTATGTTGATGTGGGGGACCTGAGCTGATTTTTGCCAATGGCACGATGTGTCACGCGACGTGTCATCCATATCGATTCAGTTTGTATTCACTTTGTTTCTCACAACTCAGGTGGGGAATGAAGTTGTTCTCCTTCTTCCTGGGAGATGCGGAATGGCAGCAGCTGAAGTCTGCTGTCCAGAATCTCTTCGCAAAGGCTCGGAAAAAGGGGGGTTCAAGCAAAGGCTCTCACTGTGGGAGATCCTCGTCTTCACTTCCGATGAAAAGGGTTGATCCCTTCGCATCACATGTGTCTCACCTCAAGTGAATACTCGCCTCAGAGCTCGCCTGGACCTGTGACAGTTCATTGGCTCTCGAATCGAGTCACCTGATGGACCAAACAAGTCTCCACTGAAACGGACGGAGGTGATCCCCTGGCGATTGGGTGGATCGCAGAGGAGGAGAGAGCGACAGCTATCCGCTGTTTCACAGCAAGGTATGTGAGGGTATCCGGTATCGATGAAACATACTCCCAGGCAGATTAACAGTTTAACATGGAGCCCAAAACCACCAGAGGAAGATGATCTTTCAGTGAGATGCAGATCACGCACTACCCGAAAAGAATGACTCACAATGAGCATATTGATCTTTTGCAGGTAGGGAATATGCTTCAACAACAGCTTCCACGGTCGAGGCCGATCGTCAAAAACAAGTGTCGAGTGCCGTGGAACGTTCGAGTGATGGCAGGAGCATTTTTGAACGCCGCTTCGATGAAGCTCCGATGCAAGAGATGCTTCGAATGAAGATCAATCCCAGCCCCTTTGCTGAAAAAGAGAAGAAGACACTGAGACAAGACACTTCAGAATTTTGACAAGACATGAGACCTAAAAAATGGTAGGTCCTTGACCATTCCTCCGAAAAGGGGTGAAGCATTTCCATCGTTCAAGGGTGGCGGTCCTGGACTGGTCCAGTCGCTCATCAGACTGTCCAACAAGACCGGGGATGGGTTCTTCCCAGCTGTTCAATCTCGTTCAATGGCTTCAACATGTTTCAACATGTGTTTCAAAAACTACAGGCCACAGGTGTTTCAACCACATGTGCTTCCCTGGCCTTTGGTCCGTCCATGTGGCTAGATGGAGCACCCCGTACAGGCTACGAGCTGTACCGTGCGGAGGGCTTTGAGTTCCTGAAGCCAGGGGATGGGGAGCGCTCGATTCAGGAGATCTTGGCCGAAGCCAAGCGGCAGAAGGAGGAAGAAGCCAAGCAACTGTTGCCGGCCACAAGTGGAGGAAGACTAGGTACGCGGGAAGTTCAGAACCTGTGGTACGTACCAATGTCTACGTCCGGAAACACATGAGGGCGGGTGTAAACTTGAAATCGAACCTGGTGGAGCTTAAACGGCACCAACATACTCTGTATATGTAGACATGTCTGGATCAACACCTGAAAGCGGACCCTCGCTTGGTCGAAGCGTTTTCTGAGGCTTGCTCGAAAGCACACAGTGGATGAGAAGCAACAGTTCCTACCTGTGCAGGTTGTCGGAAATGCCACAGAGACTGAGTAGATAGGACTAGTTGAGTCCCGTCCGCCATCCTCCAGTGCTGGCATGCTGGCTTGCTGGCCTGGTTAATGTCAGTGCGTCATTCAGGTTTGCCTCTGCCAGTTGTTTTTGGAAGGCTTACAAGATTGTATTTTGACCGACTCCTTGAGATCTTTGTCGTTGTTTGCGAAAAACAAACTTGGAGAAGGCTATGCCTGGAGCGCTTAGGGCTGAAGACAACGTGCCAAGTTCACCAAAGGTGATCTGAGCACCTTTTGCAGTGTTTTATGGTGAATATGCAAAAAGTTCTGGAAGGCAGGAACTTCGAGCTCCATCCTCACAAAAGCAGTATGGGGGCCTCAACAACCAACTTTTCCCGTTTTGACTCCGCAAGTTTTAATGGGAGCTGTAGGCGCAACCTCAACATACATATATACTTTACAGATACTTAGACTTGTATTACATATTAAATGTACTGAAGAACTGCTGAGAGGTCTGGATCGGAGACTGAACTCTTCTTGCAGCCACAGAAGGAGTGGGATGGCAGCCATCATGTTCGATTTCGAAGGCCTTTGTAGTTTCCTTAGTTAGGACTCCCGCTAGGAGCTACACAGCCACCGACCGATCTTCAACGCACGTTTGCAGTTGAGATGTCTTGCATTTTACATGAGTCAAGTTTCCCTAAACATCTATGTGGAACCCAAAACCTACGAATTTGTCGTGTCTGATGGAAAACATTGTGTTTTGGCTCCACTTGACTAAAAACATCCTAGGTCTTCAAACGAGCAGAAATAAGTGCTCAACCTGCGTTTCGTAGCACTTTCTTAAGAATCGAGCACTTTCTGGATAAACGAGCAGTTTCTGTAAAACGCGCAGTTTCTTGTGTATCCCGCGCATTTTTTCAAGGCCGCACTTCGAGCGCAAAATTCCGCACACGAGCGCAAAAAAGCGCACACGAGCGCACTTTGGAAAACTGCACCTGTTTTTGCTTTTCTTCATTTGCAGCTCGAGCACTTTTTCGCAAAACGAGCAGTTTACACCTCGAGCACTTATTTCTGCTCTTTTGAAGATCTAGGATTGTGTTTCTGTCGAAACATCGCTTTTCCAAAAGCACTAAGTTTGGAACCTGTATAAAAACCGTAGAAAACCCATGGAACATTCGTAGAAAACCCGTAGAATCCCGTAGGCAATCGTATCGTTTTGAGGAAGTCAACAAAACTCGTGTTTTCTTTAAAAACCTCGTGTATTTTCGGGGTATGACATTTTTAGGGGTTCTTGGTTCTCTAGGTAGGAACCAAGTCATTAGTGCGAGTGCTTCTTCAAGGAAGCTCCCCCCGCCCTTAGGCAGGGGAGCTTCCTTGAAGCGTGAGCTAGCGTGTGTCCAGTCACTGCTAGCGTGCTTACTCCGTTAAGTAGGTGCTACTTCATTAAGTGAGGAGGGACGGCCACGGGCTAAAAAGAGAAACGCACATAAAAAAGACTGTTGCCTTTAGTGAACATGTCACTTGCTGCTGCTTGAAGCGAGTCGAGTTTGTTGCTTCAGGAGGAGGGGAAGTCCTTGCTTATCATGGTTCACAAAAGCAACTTGGTTGAGCCAAAGAGGTCTGAGACCTTTTGGAAGGATATGACATTCAGGGCCAATAAACAATTGTCAGGAAGGGCATGTTTACACTCGGAATCGGAAGTGGTTGCAAGCGGTTTGCGGAGGAAAATGGTCATCCAGGGGCCATGCCATGCACGTAACCATGATGGTTCCAGGGAGTGCGGAGTGTTTCTCAGAGAGCTTTTTTTTTAACGAGCCAAGCGTGCGAAGAGCGATTCCAATGATCGTAATTTGTCCACCAAGACTGCTTCCCGGCCCTTCCCTTGTTCTGCTCAACTGTGGTTGGCTGTCACCTCATCCAGGGCCTGTTCATTTGCTTGGGAAATGCATTGGAAGAGGCCTCTGGATATGAACTTCCTTTCACAAAACGATGTTTCATATGGATTTAAATGGAGTTATCCTTTTAGATCGATACTGTCGGGGAAGCTGATGTCATTCCACGCAAGACTGGTGTCGACAGGACACTCCACAAGGATGCTCCAGGTTTCACCTCTGACTTTATGCATCGAAAGTGTCACTTGAGTGACACGAATGTAAAACAGAATGTACACGAAGAAAAGGCTCCATCCACAGGATGCCTTTGTTTTATGTTCCTCACCAGAGCTTCATGCGCTTGGAGCTCATCACTTAAGCGCCGGTGATTGCATCTGTTTTTTAACTCCGTTTTTGGGGCGTCTCAAGAACCTGACATGGCAACTGAGCTGCCATAAAAGTTCTATTTTTGGATGTTACTATTACTTACTGCTTATATTATGAGAAGTAACGAGAACGATGCACCAAAGATCAAAACGTGGTCTAGGAAGGGACAAAGAGAAGAATCAACACCAATTCTAACCACGGGACAGGTTGGTTAGGACCTAGGAGGTGTAGAGATCAGTGGTTTGTTGCTTTCTTTCAGGTGATTTACCCGACAACAAGATGGAGGCGTCGAGCCCTCAGGATGGCGTGGCCACCACGTGACGGGCGTCGAGGCAAAACGTCGCCGTCCAGACTCGTTGGTGCGATCAGACCGGCTCCGACTAACGCTAGAAGACGAGCCATGCGTTTTAGTGATCAGGAGTGGTTGTTTTGAATGTGTCGTTTTTGTTTTGTCTCTTTTTGGCCAAAGTGTTTCTACTTTTTTTGGGCACATTCGGAGCTCGGAAAAGCTCCAACAGAAAGCTCCAAAGGAAGGAAGATGATGTATTTTTTTTTGTGGGCAAACATGAGTGTTGAGCAATAGCGACATCAGGTGGCAGTGGTTGCTGTGGGCAGTGCTTCTGGGTGGCACTTTCTTCTCTTGTTTGGGCACACCCTTGGCAGTGCCTTGGCTTGAAGAGCAGCACAGATGAAGGCCTTAGTCATGAAGGAGCAGTAAGATGTGAAGCGAAAGATTATGAATATTGCTAAATATTCAAGAGTCTTGGAATTCTCAAGTCTCATTGACATATTTATCACTTGAACATACTTGGACTATTAAGAAATACAACACGCAAATCCTTGGGCACTTTCCGCATCGATTTGATTGGCTGTCTCGTTGCAGAGCGCACAGGTCTTGCCTGTTGGCCCATCGGTGCGCTCCAGTGCCGAGTGGATAAGTGGACAAATGTGAAGCAGAGAGACATCCGTGATCGGTTGATGCAGGAGTCCCAAATAACTTTTGGTGGATTGTCAAGTATGATCTGCTTCGACTCTGTAGATCCGAGGGTTCAAACACGATGAAAGCCCATGAGCTGGCATATTGGAACTCTGTGTCTCGCACACCGCCAGGCCGGACAGGACTTCACCCAGCTTTCTGCTTCGATTGAGAAGGCTTGGGGCTTTTGTATTGGTGATTTCATGTGACCAGAAAGGAAGAACCATTAGACATGTTTGTTGGTCTGTACCCAACGAAGCAATTGCAGAACACGCCTTTGTCGTGTCTTCAGGTTGTGCCAGTTGCTTTTAGCATCTTCGCTGTTCTCGCAGCCCAGGAGACCACAAACATCCACAAACATGCATGTTGTCCATGTCTCCAAACCGCTTGGAATCCCCACACGGCTTTGTGTTCATGGCCTATGATGGCATATGGCATATGCCACTGACTGCCCTTCAAGAAAAAGTCAAAACATATTGCTGTGATTGTGATGCATTTGGATCCAGACTATATGAAGGACTCAATAGAATGCAGTGAAAGCCTTGACATGCCAAAGCGATGACACCTTAGCACGATTCCTTGAGGAGTCTGCCCGACGCGCGGTGGCATCTAAGTATGGGCAAAGCTGCACTGCTTAGAGATTTAGCAGGAAAACACATCTCAAATCTGCTGGTAGTGGTAACCTGGTAGCAATTGAAAACGATCATTCTTCATTTGTGCAACGTCTCGCAAGTTCTGTTTTTTGAAGAGATGGGATGCATCTTTGGCTCTGCTGCCTCTTTGCCCACTTTGCTGCCAGGGTGGAGCTAACGCCACCCTACTTGATCCCTGCCATTCCTTTGGGGTGCGCCCGCAGGGTTCTAGCGCCACACTTCGTACAGAATCGAAAGAATCTGTGAACATCTAATTAGTTGCCCTCTTCTTGCAATAGCTTTAACCATAGAAATTTCAACGTCACTGAAATAGAATTTAGGAGACCCACGTATTCAGATTCGAAGACCTCTCCCCAGATCCAGATAGACATCTGGCAGGTCTGTGGGCTGCTTGGGTGTGGTGAGCCGGCGCATGTCGACGGCACCCAACCGGGAGGCCACTCCCAATCCGGTCGAAGTCGAAAGGTGTTCGATTCCAGAAAGTGAACGATTGCCATGGAGGGGGTTCTCATGAACTCGACAGGTCGTTTGCAGCTCGTTGGCTTTGGTCGACTTGGTACGAGGAGGGATGTGGGGGTTCTGAATAGTAGCGTCATCCCGATGTCATCATGCAGCCGTTGCAGCTGAAATCGATGGTTGACCAACCACCCGAGAGAGGGAGTTGCTGTCAAAAGATCCAGAACTTGGAAGAAGAAGAAGAAGAAGAAGAAGAAGAAGAAGAAGAAGAAGAACAAACATAGTGAAATCGTGCCAAATACAAGTACATCATATCATAGACATATTACCAACCAGATGCTCAGAAAACGGAAGATGGCGGTGGGAGGTGATCCAGTGTTTCAACCAATTGATATGTTTAGCTTTGCAGTATGGTGCTGCTACAAAAGGTTAGTCAAGCTATACGTCCACACAGATTCGTTGGACCCTTCCCAAGGTTGAGTCACAAAGACACAAAGTCCCAAGAGGATTTGTTGTACCTCAAAGGCATTTTTCACCGACTGAGCAGGCATGGAATTGTTCTCCTGTAAGATCTGTAAGACCTCGCGCTTCGCCGTGCTCGCAGTCGGAAGTGAATATGTCCTTGGCGGCTCCCATCGCGGGGTTGGCCGCCGCAAGCTAAGCTGACACAGCCGAAGGTGCAGCCAAGAGGTGACAGATGCATCCGAAATCGGGTCGAAACCAAGATTCAATCATCATGAACCTCTGTACTCAGTCGAAACCAATGCAACGAGGAGTTTCTTTGGATTCACC